AAAGTTCAAAAATCCGTTCGCTATACTGGCTTTCCAAACCAATACCATTATCTGTAAAGCTGATACGGATGTAGTCTTTATCGGTAATGGCCCCGGCATGGTTCATTGTACTGCCGGCTATGGTACTGGCCTGGATATGAAGCAATGGCTTGTTATGCTCCGCCTGGAACTTCAATGCATTGTCTATCAGATTCTGGAACAGCTTATAGAGTAATGTACGGTAACCCGTAATGGTAGGCAGTTTACCCGCTTCGATCACCGCTTCTTTTTCACGGATCTGTTTCTGAAAATTATTTTCAGTGAATTTAAGCACATGGTTTAATGCTACTTCACTCAATGGTTCCGACAACCGGTTGACCTGTGAAAAGGTATAAATATCATCCGTTAACGTCTCGATCTTTTCAGCAGAGTACTGAATACGTTTTAGGAAAAATAATCCCTCTGCAGACAACCGTTCCGCTTCGCGCTCTTTTAAAATATCAATAAAGCCACGGATCTTGCGAAGTGGTTCTTTAAGGTCGCGACTGGTAATATTTGAAAAAGATAATAGTTCATTGTTCAGTTGCCTGAGTTCGAGGTTTTTTTGTTCGAGAACCTGGTTCAGCCATTTTAATTCATATTCCGCCTTGATCCGGTGCGCCACATCATGGCGGATAATAAGGATCCCAATAATCACCTCCCCTGCATCTCTTAATGGTATGACATGGGTTTCCATGTACTCAGCAGCAACAATTCCCTTATCAACCGGCACAAAAGATGCACGTCCCCGTAGCGCCTCGTCCAGGGCATCACAAAGTGCTTCGCTGAATACCAATCCGGGATATAAAGTTTTTAACGGTTGCCCCAATACGCTTTCCTGCGATTTACCGGTCAGCAATTCGCAACGCTTATTCCACGAGATGACATTCAATGAGACATCTACCGCCAATACGCAATCTATACTGGAATCATTGATCAATTCGGCGAGAAAGGCACGTTTATTTAATTCTTCATGCTGCATTGCGTTACATTATATAAATACTGAAACATCAAAGTCACCGATACTCACTCTTTTTAAATTTTTCCGGCCCGTCATTTACAAGGTCATGGACCAGGTGTACAAGTTCATGCATACCAAATGGTTTTTCCATAAAGTGATCGGCGCCTGCTGCCCGGGCAAGTTT